TAGAGGAAATGAAACTGTTTACTTCGAAAGTATGAACATTTTAAAATATATTTTTTTATCTGTAACGAATCAAATTGTTCCAGTAAAAAATATTTAAAATAGCTATAATTGAAATGGTTAAAATTATTGAATTGTTTAAAACAACATTATTTATATTAATTAAAACTATAATGAATCAAATTACTTCTGTTTTTCAGGTGACTTCCTGTTCTCATATCCTTTTCTTTTTTGCATTTCTAATTTTAACAAATTTTAATTTTTATCTAAAATTATTTAGTTTCAGTCATTGTAAAAAGTCTTTAACATACAAAATAGAACTTATTCGTAATTCACTTTATAAAGTTGGAACATTTCTCAAGGACGTAAGATCACATATATTGAATTGGTAGTATTAGTATGTTTGAAACACTAGTTAAATTCCTCATATTTCTTGATCAGAAGTGACAATTTACTAAATCATAGAAACGATTGAAGTTTCGTAGCTGTTAAGGCCCGGCATGGCCAGGTGGTTAGGACGCTTGACTCGCAATCTGAGGGTTGCGGGTTCGACTCACCGTCTCACCAAACATGTTCGCCCTTTCAGCTGTGGGTGCGTTATAATGTGACGGTCAATCCCACTATTCGTTGGTAAAAACAATACACTCGCAATTTTAGGTAGTGAAATAAGGAGGGTGTTCGAGAGTCTGAAAACCAGAGAACATGATGTCATAATAAGCAATGTAAAATAACTGGGAAACTTTGGTATCATGTAAATGTCAGAACATTATTCTAACTAATACTAAATATCCAATTTCATCCTTATTGGTTTATTTATTTTTTGTTCCTCTCAGCAAAAGGAAATGATGTTCAATACCTTGTGACGTTGCTAAAGGAAATCCTTGAGATCCCTTGGTATGGAGAATATTTCTAAATATAAATACTCTCCTCCCCAACTCTTCTCATAAAAAGGCATAATAACACCTACGATTTGGTTTGTTTTTAATTTCGCGCAAAACTACACGAGGGTTATCTGCGCTAGCCGTTCCTAATTTAGTAGTGAGACTAGAGAGAAGGCAGCTAGTCATCACCACCCACCGCCAACTCTTGGGCTACTCCAATCGTGTCTGTGTGGAGAAATAGGGTATTGTCGCGGGTTAATAACTCTGTAAAGTGTGATCAGATTTGTACCAAATTTCCTGGGCACATTAAGGTTGAGACTCCTCATCACACTACAGAAATGATCCGGATCATTGATCATTCTGAGTTTTCGAAGGTGAAATTTGACGTTATACAATATAAACGCTTGCAATCTCGAAAAAGGAGTGGCGGGGTGAGGGGTATGTAATCTCTCAGATTACTCTTGTTATATTTGTCATTATATTTGTAGAACTAGGTAC